ACACACACACACACACACACACACACACACACAGAGCTTTTAGTCATGCATGATGTAAAAGACTTTAACAGCAGTTCCACCAGCTGCACTGCACATATGGAGTGCAAAATAGTCTTAAAATAGGTGCTTCGATTTCTTATTCTTTTGTTTCGAAGTCTGTTTTTTTCAATTACAAAGACAACATGGGAACTTTGCGGGTGTTAGTAAAGCTAGCTGAGGAGTTCATACATATTTAATATTCTTTCATACCTCTGTTTTATTACACCTCCCCCTTACCATACCTCTATATTATTTATCCTATTGATTTGACATTAATTATCGTATTAGTTACCGTTTTTTCCCCCCATACTTCTCTACATACTTGTAAATAGTCACCGTGTGTGTAACAGACCTGACAAACCCATGCTGATTCATATTAGTGCGAGCTTTTTACAATTATTGCTGATTCACGCAGGAGAGAATTTCAACCGCCAAGGTATTTAGGGAGTTTTTTTTCCCTCACCACTGCCACCTCTGGATTGTTCACCAGGGATCCTAATCAACATCTGGATTTCTCTAAGCTGCTTTGTGACAACGTTGTTAAAAGTGCTGCACAAATAAAACTGAATTTAATTATTTACCTTCATATTTGTGAAATGTGAAAAAAAGAAATCAAAAAAAAAAAAAAAAAAAAAAACATTCTCAATCATTTGTACCAGTTTGGTCGATGAGATATTGTTGCATTTGTGTACTATAGTGATATTGAATTCTGGATTCTGATTGGTTCAGAAGGTGTTGTTAATTTTCTTTACACTACGCCACGTTGAATGCTCGAATCTGATTGGTCAGAAGGTGTGCATTATTTTGTATAACAGCATGAGTAGTTCCTGCTGTAACATAAACAATAGGTTTACACTAATGCGCTCTTTCTAATACATTATTGTTTCTGTAGAAACAGCTCATACATAGGGACTTGTACGGCACATGTGAAAGGTTTTTTTTTTGTTGTTGGTTTTTTTTTTTTTTTAATACAGATATAGAGAAGGAAGACTATTGTGACCCTGTGACTCCCTGGCGTTCCATCCAGGGTGTGTTCCCACTTCCGGATTCACCATGACCCTGACCAGTATTAAGCAGTCAGTCAAGATGAATAAGTCTATTGTGGTCATATATAAACTCTCAAACCTAATACGTACCAAAAGACATTTATTTAGGAGCCAAGTCAAGGTCTGGCTGGAAATGACCAAGCATAGACCAATAATAATGTCTTTTAAGGCGCAATATAGGGCACTAATAGACTTTCATGGATGTCTTTGGTTCTATATTGAAATTTTTTTGTTGTTGTCTGTTTAACTACTTCTACAAAAATCACCTCAATCACATTATTCCAGCAATCGACCAATCATTAAATCACCATATATGAAACTACATCTGAACTCTAAATCACCATATATGAAACTACATCTGAACTCTGAAAAGGAAAGTGACCATTAACAAACCCATTCGACTGAACCACTCTCACCTTTGCAGGCAAAAATTCCATCTCTGAAGCCTTCTGCGCCAGAGTCTCGAGGTTGATCTCTTTGGACGTCCTTCTCCTTCTCTGTGTGCTATGGATCACCCCTATTGAGGGTCCTGGAACACCAGCGATGCCTCCATTACGGGCTAGTTCCTTCGCTGGTGGGTTGACTGGAGGGGAGATGCCGTCCTTTGAGAGCCTTCTGGAGCGCCGAGGGAGAGCTTCAGGTTTGCCTTCGGTTTCTTGCATCTCCTGAAGTGCTTGACCAAGACCTGGATCTTTGTTCATTGGTGACTGCGGACATGGATCCTGTCTTTGATGAGGCAATGTACAAGAACCTGCTTTGACTTGACTGTTGTCCGGTTGCTGTGGTGGTCTGGCCAGTCGCTGGTCTTGCTGAAGTGGTTGCGAGGGACATGATTCTGTTTGCAGCATGTTTTGCAGCTGGTGCAGTTGATGCTGCTGCTGCATCTGCTGCAGCTGTTCCTGCATTTTCTGCTGATGTTGGTACTGCTGTTGAATTTGGAGTAGTCGTTGTTGTTGCTGCTGCTGTTGCAACATTTGCTGCATTTGCTGCTGCTGCTGTTGTAACTGCAAGAGCTGCTGCTGTTGCTGCTGCTGCTGCTGCTGTGATTTTGGTGGTTCGCTGTAACCCAGATTCTGAGGTGCGTTGTTTCCTTGGAAAGCCTGAAAGAAACCCGAGGTCTGAAGTTGCTTGTTAGGTCCAAATGCCACCTGAAAGGGCTGTAGAGTAGAGTCGGGCATGGAGTGACGCATGGCGTGAGGCTGATACTGTGGGTCTCCTGGCTTGTGGCCATGCTGGTGAGCCTGGAACTGGGAATGATGCATGGCTGCCATAGTATGAGAGTCCCATTCCATTCCTGGTGCCAGAGCTTGTGTTGGTTCAGCGTAGGGCACAGAGGAGCCTGCAGACATTTTCTCTTGCTGCAAGGTGTCCAGGTCATGATTGGTCTTGGGTAAAGCTTGATGTCCTCGTGCATCCTCCATTCCAGTCAGAGAAGGTCCAAAGTTCTGGGGCAGTTTAGTTGAATTTGGTAGGCCTGGAAACCAAGTGGAGGAATGAACTGGTTCTTGAGACACCCATTTCACTGGACCTGATTGCTGAAAATGACCCCATACTTGATAGCCTTTGTCAGGTTTAAAAATAGCTGAGCTTTGGAGATCAAAACTGGGGTCTGTCCTTCCTCCGGCACTGCTGCTCGTTTGCTCTAACGACTGACCCCCGGTGTTGTAGAAGACCTCGCCTGAATGCTGCGCCAGTTCCTCGATGCCTTCAATATTCTGCTTGCCCAGATTACTAACGTTCCCTCTCTGATGAGGAGAGAGGCTCATGTTGAGATTGCAAAATTACAAAAGGGTGTGCAGAAATGATCATCAGTACACACCAACCGAAAAAAAACCCCACTGCTCTACAAGTCTGACTGCCTTCGTCAGAGCGCCTTAGTATGTAGACGCCACGCAGAAGAGGGAAGAGAACATGAATTGCACTTCCTCCCTTGCCTGTTCTCCTCTTCTCCAAACTAGTTATGCTGTAAACAGCTAAGCGGTTTGTCATCCCTCAGGCAAGATTCTGGAAAAGAGCAACTTATGATGAGTCTGAGAAAGGATGCAGAACATTTTTTCCACAGTTGTTAGTCTTGTTAAGCGTTTGAGCTTAAACTTCTTTCAACCTTTTTCACTAGAGCACAGGATCTCACCCCTGGTCCTGCACATTTTAGTGTTTTCTCTTCTCTAAGACACACACACTACAATTCATAAAGTGCTGTTAATTAGCTGATTAGTTGAATCAGTTGGTCTGGGAGCAGAGAAATCACAAAAATATGCAGGACAGGGTGTAGGCCAGATAGACCAGGGTTGGGAACGTGTGCGCTAGACAAATACACACAAATGATCCTTTCTCAATAACACTTCCCAGTTACACTCAGGTCAATGTATAATAGCTCATGAATGGCTTCCAAAGGACAACTACTTTCACTTTAGGTGTGTGTGTGTGTGTGTGTGTGTGTGTGTGTGTGTGTGTGTGTGTGTGTGTGTGAAACCACATACATGGATTCCATATTCAATTTATTTATGCGAAGTCAGTCCTGTGAGATGTTTATGGAATGAGATATGTGACTCCTTTAGAGAAGCTTGATTTTTTTTTTTTTAGTCCAGCACACAGAACAGTGGCAGAAAGCAAACTGCAGCAGGGGCGTGGACGGTGCAGTGCAAGACAACAAGAATTACAGGAAGTGAAGAGGGAAGGGGAAGAGAGAATATGGGAGAATGAGAGAGAGAGAGAGAGAGAGAGAGAGAGAGAGAGAACTTCTAACCATATTGCCTATACCAGACCCTTTTCAACCACTTTTTAGGTGATCACTAGGGTATAGAAATATTATTATTATCATCATCATCATCACTCACTACTGGTTCTGTGCAAGGCTTTAAGCACTGATTATGCAATTCACTTTTTTTTTTTTTTTTGCTTAGGCCTCTAAGGAATGCGCACAGACCGTTTTGAAATATAAACATATGCAAGCAATTGCAAATGCAAATGCAGACAACACACAGGAAGGCATATAACCAAACTATCTTAGGCTTCACGTGCTGGATTAAAGTGCACGGATCCACTTACTCTGTAAACGCCGCAATGTCGCCTTGCCTTCTGTTCGTGTTTATGTCTTCAGGTTCGGGTGACAGGGCTGAGTGACGCAGAAAACCGATCCAACCTGGAGTAAAGTCGACTCTCTTGCATGCACACGGCTGCACACTGCTCACTGCTCACTATTACAGCCCCACAGCCGGGTCACAATCGACCGCGACTCTATAGGAAGTCGTTAAGTCTCACGACGTCGATGTGTCAACATCTGAGCGGCGCGAGCTGGAAACAAAGTTGCACAAAGTCGCGCATTCCGCTGCGTCGCGCGGCATTTCTGCCTTGACGAGCTCGTGTGTTTTTACCTCAGGGGCACACTCGACTTCAAACAAACAAACAATCAAACAAACAAACTTACTAACTAACTACTGAAACCTAAAAGCTATTTCCCGTGTGTAAAGTTTCAGCTCATATTTGCATGTCTTCCGTGAGACTTAAGAGTCGGGTTGCACGGGTTTCAGATAGTGACGGGTGATTCACGAATCAACCGACTCTTTTGCACGAGGCTTTAATAGAGTCGATTCACAAGTATGAATGATTTTTTTTATTTATTTTTTTTTGGTAAAGGTTGCTACTGTTTTTCCATTATAAATTATGTACTTTTCACTGTGTTTTCAAGATGGTGTTTATTATTATTAGCAACTAAACTCACTCCCTTTCAGTAATCACTTCATCCAGAGCCTATCCCAGGAATGCTGGGTGTGAGGCAGGAATACACCCCAAATGGGCCACCTGTACCATGCACACACTCATTCACACCTAGGCGCAAGTTATTCAAGCCAATCCACCACACTAGCATGTTTTTTTTTTGGGGGGGGGGAGGAAACTAGAGAACCCTGAGGGAACCTACACAACCAGGGATCGAACCTGGGCTCCTGGAGCTGTGAAGCAGCAATGCTACCTCCTGCACCACCGTGCATGATAGTGGCTCAACTGGATTGTGGAAGTAGACAACTCATGCTCAAAAAGTTGCTAGAAATGCACCAGATGATGCCAAGGACTAATTTGCATATCCATGGAATCATCATGATAATCTGCATATCACAACATGTTATATAAAGAAAGAAGTTTTTCTGAAGATACAAAGGAACTATTTTATATATTAAAAAAAAAAAACAGTTGTGGTGAGGAGTCAGGAAATAGATATAGGGTGTCTAAAGACACCCCATAGACTTAAGGATGGCCAATATTATCCATAAAATAAAATTAGCCATGACAGGGGGAAGGGTGTAATAGCAGCTGGGGGGCCAAAATTTATATTGTTACAATGATTTGGGGTGAATTGGGGTGAATCAAACAATCTGAATTCATCTAGTTCAATTCTCTTAAACTGGTTTGTTCAAAAGAGTCGATTCAGTAAAGTGACTCATAATGCTCGTCACTAAGAACGACCTGTTCCTTCGGTTATTTATCAACACAAGCTCCATATGACCCTGTCACTATATCAGTGTATTTCAGATTTAGCTGAAGGCCAGTGAAACACAGATTGTGTGGACAGGATTAGTGAATTAACCAGTTTGGTGATAAAACCAGGATTAAAAATGGATATTTAGGAAATTTCAGTTGGATGCGGAAGAGAATTGTGCACGAATGAGGGTGACGGATTTTACTGGGTTCTTTCGGTTACGGTTTCTGGAGTTACAGTTTTCATCAGTGTCATCGGATTTTGGTTATTGGTCTGTTTTCCAAACCTGCAACTTTATACTATAAAGTTGAACAACACTAATTATGTTGAACGAATGTTCAGTACGGATGTAACTGACTACAAATACATTACAGATATGAGAAGGTGGTGAATTTTTTAGAAAGCTTGGCAGAAAGATTCACAGGACAGCTGGTTGAGACTAGAGTCGTGCTTCAAGACTGGGATTCTACAAGACACAGTATTTATTCATTCATCTTTAGTAACTGCCTGGTCAGGTTTGTGGTAAATTAGGCTACTAGTTTATTTATATTTTGGAAAATAAAACCAACAAAATTTGTTATTGTGGGCAGGTACAAACAAAAATAATAGCTGCGTGAGCAGGATTAAAAAAAACAGTCACACACACATTCCTTGTCGAACCCAGTTATGACTCGAATGATGTAGTTGAGATTGAGCAACTTGGATGAACATGTCTGTGGTGTTGGTGTGGCTTGGTTATTGTTAGGGGGTGTGGCTTGGTTATTGTTAGGGGGTGTGGCTTGGTTATTGTTAGATGGAAGCACAAAGTTACAGTAACTCACAATTGCAAGATAGAAAGTCACAACTGTGAGGTATTATCTTGCAATGACGAGATAAAACGTCACGATTATGAGATATATCTGTGTGATATTTTCTCATACGTGACAGAAACAAACTTCTATAGTGCTGTCGTTTCTACACCCGGGATGTGGGCAGGCGTTTTATGTTGGGAGTACTGGACTTTTAACCCCCATATATGTGGCGTGAACTATGGTGTCACACCCGAATGATAATAGGAACGTTTCTTCTAACAGAAATCATGTTATATTACAGTAACTATACCGCAGCACAGATCAATTCTCGAACCAAAATGATTTGTTTCATTTTTAATAGCAGCACCGATCTGAATATTTATGACTGTAACATAAATGTTTATATTAATGAACTCATCCTACTACATTATCATCTCTATAATAAACAGATTGAAAACATTTTGTTGAATATTAAAGAAAACATCGAAGTTTATTTAACATTTATGGAAGAAGTGCCAGTTTATAAGTTTTCTGACACAGAGGTTAGTTCCTGCAGATACAGTCATTCCCTCACCAGCCTCTCTTTTTTTCTCTCTTAAACACACACACACACACACAAAAAACACAGACGTTCTGCAACTTTAAACACAACTATGAACAGTTAAAAAGTGTGATGTGTTGTTCATTAATAAATTCAAAATTGTAATTGTTGGTAAATCACTGTGGTATTAGAGGAATACTATCTCTGACAAACTCAGAAACTACTCAAAGTACTACATTTTTCAGATTTTCTTTTGTCTATTTCTTTATTATTATTATTATTATTATTATTATTATTATTATATCAGTTGCAGCTGCGTTAAAGGAATTCTGAGAGTATTTGTATGTAGCAGTAGTAGTATTTATTAGTAGTATTTATTAGTATTATTTGTATGTAACAGTAGTAGTAGTATTTAGCAGTAGTATTTGTATGTAGCAGTAGAAGTAGTATTTAGCAGTAGTATTTGTATGTAGCAGTAGTAGTAGTATTTAGCAGTAGTATTTGTATGTAGCAGTAGAAGTAGTATTTAGCAGTAGTATTTGTATGTAGCAGTAGTAGTATTTATTAGTAGTATTTATTAGTATTATTTGTATGTAACAGTAGTAGTAGTATTTAGCAGTAGTATTTGTATGTAGCAGTAGAAGTAGTATTTAGCAGTAGTATTTGTATGTAGCAGTAGTAGTAGTATTTATTAGTAGTATTTAGCAGTAGTATTTGTATGTAGCAGCAGCAGTAGTATTTATTAGTAGTATTTGTATGTAGCAGTAGTAGTAGTATTTATCAGTAGTATTTATCAGTAGTATTTGTATGTAGCAGCAGTAGTAGTATTTATCAGTAGTATTTGTATGTAGCAGTAGTAGTAGTATTTAGCAGTAGTATTTGTATGTAGCAGTAGTAGTAGTATTTAGCAGTAGTATTTAGCAGTATTATTTGTATGTAGCAGCAGTAGTAGTATTTATTAGTAGTATTTAGCAGTAGTATTTGTATGTAGCAGTAGCAGTAGTAGTATTATTTATTAGTAGTATTTAGCAGTAGTATTTGTATGTAGCAGTAGTATTTAGCAGTAGTATTTGTATGTAGTAGTAGTATTTATTAGTAGTATTTAGCAGTAGTATTTGTATGTAGCAGTAGTATTTATTAGTAGTATTTAGCAGTAGTATTTGTATGTAGCAGTAGTATTTATTAGTAGTATTTAGCAGTAGTATTTGTATGTAGCAGTAGTATTTATTAGTAGTATTTAGCAGTAGTATTTGTATGTAGCAGTAGTATTTATTAGTAGTATTTAGCAGTAGTATTTGTATGTAGCAGTAGTAGTAGTATTTATTAGCAGCAGTATTTGTATGTAGCAGTAGCAGTAGTAGTATTATTTATTAGTAGTATTTAGCAGTAGTATTTGTATGTAGTAGTAGTAGTAGTAGTAGTAGTATTTATTAGTAGTATTTAGCAGTAGTATTTAGCAGTAGTATTTGTATGTAGCAGTAGTAGTAGTAGTATTTAGCAGTAGTAGTAGTAGTATTTATTAGTAGTATTTAGCAGTAGTATTTGTATGTAGCAGTAGTAGTAGTATTTATTAGCAGTAGTATTTGTATGTAGCAGTAGTAGTAGTATTTATTAGCAGTAGTATTTGTATGTAGCAGTAGTAGTAGTAGTATTTAGCAGTAGTATTTGTGGAAACCGCGCCGCTCTCAGACCTGAAACCCGACGCTAAGTCTGGTGACGCGTCACTCAGCTGACCGTGTGGTCATGTGACTGCTGGCTACATCGTTAGCTTCGTGAGGGAAGGAGTGGAAACGCGAGCAGCAGAAGCGCAGAGTTTAATGCTGGTTCTGCTCTTTGGGGTTCATCATGACCTGGACGAAGTACCAACTCTTTCTGGCCGGTTTAATGCTCACTACGGGCTCCATCAACACTCTGTCCGCGAAGTAAGTTGTTAATCACTTCGCCTTTCGGCTGCTTGCTGTTTACCAGCCGCTTTTAGTCATAGATTTAGTCGTGTATCTCAGGAGAGATCATGTTTGTGTTTTTATTCTTTTCAGCAAAATGCTAACTTATGACGAAAACAGTTATGGCAGTGAAGAAATTTCATTTAGTGTCTGTGTTTATCATAAACACAAACACTGATCACACAAATCCTTATCGGAGAAGGTGCGAATTGTTGTTGTGGGGGTTGTCACTCTAAAAATAAAAACGTAACAAATGATTTGGTTGATTTAAAAAAAAAAAATATGAGCGCTACATTGTAATAATAAGTAGTTAAAAGTGTACTAACTAGTAAAACAACAATACTTCTCAAGCTGTGTTGAAAAACACGTATATCACGGTTTTGGACACCCCTACAACGGGCCGTACCATTTCTTCACTGTTGACAGAGCACGAGCTGCTTATTCCATGTGCATTAACTGTGTAGTGAAGAGCCATTCAGTGTCTATGGGGGGGAAATGTTTTGTTAATAAGCTGTCTGGTTTAATTCAGTCTTTCAGAATGAATCCAAAAATATGTTATCATATCACAAATCACATGAAGGGCAAATGCTGACCCTTTACATGTCATTATATAATTCACACTGTACTGGATGCATGGTGCACTATGGAATGGATGTGAAATATGGAAATTAAAATGATTTACCCTGTGTATGGTGTAGGGCGTCATTTGGGATTGTTCTCTCTACGCTCTTGCTTAACGCTTGTCCAGCAGTCCTGCGTGCATGTGGGCGATGCTGAGTGTGCAGTCTGATCTCCTCTAAACATATGACATAATATCGCTGACATGGCTGGATCTGTTTTTTTATGACAGGAATTGCATCGTTGGTGGATTTTTTTTTCTTTTCTTTTCTTTTTTTTTTTTTTTTTTTTTTTTTTTTTTTTTTTTTTTTTCCATATTGACTAAACAGCATGAGAACATCTCGCAACACTGAAAAAGGAGCTGGCATTATCTCTAAACTAGCTCAGCAGACATTCTAGCTGAAGTTTCAGTGATCTGTTCAAACCTAAGTACCAGTTGGTTTGTTTAATTGTTGTAAAATATTTTTTAATTTCATGTCATTTTTTTTCTGATTTTTTTTTTTTTTTTTTTTTTTTTTTTTTTTTTTTTTTTTTTTTTTTTTTCTTTCCCCAGTCTGATGTCTATATTAGGTCGTGTCTTGTTCACACCGCTATTGAAAGCACATGGCAGTCACACTCCTT